ATGCCTTATTAAGTCTTCCTTTTCTTTTTCCTTTATCTGGGTCCTGTAAGTCTAAAATCATTACAGTTTTATAAGCATATCCCATGATGTTTCAGTGAAATGTCACTGTTTCCTGGTCTGCTATTGTTTTAAGTAGCTGTAGATGCAAACTCAACATTTCAGTCATGTTTAACTGTTGTGTGGATAACGTCTACATAATATCTATTTCCACAACACCAGTTCAATCAGTACAACATGTTTATTGATCCCTATTAAGCTACTGTCAAGGAAACTCATCACTCCATGCATTGATTTTTACATGGAAGGTCCAGCAGCTCAAAGAGCTCTATTCCCTCTCAGCTTCTGATGTGAAACAACTCAGGCATATAATAAAACAAACAAAAGATCCACTTACCAGCTGTTTTCATCAGTGGATGCAGATTGCTCAGTTGTCATGGAAATAGCTCAGTTACTGTCAGGTCCGCTCGATGCGACCTGCTTCTCTTCCGCCTTTCTCTCCCCTGCTCTCTTGACCTGCGGGATCTGCACCTCAGCTGTGTTGCATTCGGTAATTAGTGACTCGTTTGTCAGTGCGCACAGCTGGGGTGCATCCCTCTGATTATTCTTCCTCCTTATTTATACCTCTGGCAGATGCTCCGCCGTCGCTGGAGCATTAACTTTACCTAACATAATTTGCATACCCCGTAACGGACCTATAGCCGTGGTATGTGGCATGTCGATTTGACTTCCACGCTGACAGTTCCTGTGCTGTGGATCTCAGTTTGTACGTAGGTTAAACGTTTTGTGTTATTCATCTTTAGACGTCCACGCTGACAGTTCCTGTGCTGTGGATTTCCTTTTTTTGTTTGCCATCCCTCCTGGTTAGCTTGTCTATTCCCCTGTCCATCCTGATCCTCTTACTCTCCTGGTTTCGGTCGTTAACCTGTCTATTCCCTTGGTCGTCCTGGTCTCCTCAGTCATCTTTACCCAGCCCTGGTTGTTTGTACTCTTTGACTCTGTTCCTTTTTGTGATCCCCATCATTAAACTACCTTTTTTACTAGCACCTGGGTCAGCAATCTTGAGTCCTACCTCGGTTCTCCCTCATCCTCCTGGTGAGGGGGACTAAACCATAACAGTTACTGTCATGCTGAAAAAGGCCATGAAATACAGTGGATAACTTTGAAAAAGCAAGTGTTTTGTATATCAGGGAGTAATGACAAACTTATTTTTCAGCTGTGAATTGTCCTACCCAATACATTTCTTGGTTAAAAAAACTAAGTTAGAGGAACCTCATCACAATGTCTCCTGCTTTAAGAACATTAATTATGGCCCACGGGCATTAGCTTTTGCAAAAGCACTGGTGTGTTCCTTTATCTGCAGCAGGGCAATGTCAAATTTAATTTGCGTACCTTTCTGTACATTATGTAGGAGAGTGTTACCTGACTGACTGGACTGTTTGGAGTCCATGCCAGTTAAGCTGTGTGGGTGGGAATGACCTGGGTTTTGGCTCAGTCCAAGTCCGATCCAGAGCTGTGGTGGCCCAGGATCCAGAGAACCTGCTGCAATGTCCAGAACAGGAGTTGGAGGCACGTCCATGTACAGGTCAGCCAGGCAGAGTCCTGCAGAGTGCAGTTTTACATAAGTTGTATCTGTTTGAGTACTTAACGATGATGTAAATGTTATCTCACCTTACCTTCCGCTGATGGCTCAATCTGTTTTTTCAGAGAGAACCTGAACGAGTACATTTCACCTGTGTATATGGATATTATTACTGTATCTACATTACCTCTGACCATATTCTTCCTGCAGAGGGCCAGTGTTTTGAATACAAGTGGCGCACTGGACCATGGAGAGGTTCATCTCGCCAAGTCTGGTGTCAGCGTTCAGATGGAGTAAATGTCACCGGTAAGCATTAAAATGTCACCGGTAAGCATTATGACTCATGTCTGTCTTCACTTATCCCTGGTAATACACATCATCAGTTGCCTTAAAAGCTCTAACACAGTCACACGGAGTCAGTTTCTTGATTAAGTCCATGAAGGCTGATCAAAAATGTTCGATTAGAGCAGACTCTGAATAACTTTGAAAATGGCTAACCACAGGGTGATGCTTCACATGAAAGTATACTGTGACAGAATGGCACAACTGTCTCAAAGTGACACAGTAGATGCTAGTTACCCACCTACTCTCTGCTCTTCCAACTATTCAAGGAAAAGCAAGGACTGATTGTTATTGTATAAATTACCACTAACTACTTTCAATGCATTGTCTGTAGTTGCTATAAGCTTTTTCCTCTGTTTTTGGAGTGTGTCCTTTGAATGTTGCATACTTTTCATGATGTGCTATGCCTATATTCAAATTTTGAGCATCTCTGATGCTCCATTTTCAGGATTAATTTGGCTTGTGTTGTCACTCTTTCTTTTTTTCCAGCGTCAAATGTCTGTCTGCTTTTGCTACTCTCAAACCACTTAGGTGAAAGCAACTTTTTTAAAGCTACACTCTGAATTAGTGCAATTTAAGATACGAATAGACAAGATTCATACAATCAATACATTTTGACGTTTGCAGGTGGAGTTTGCTTGACTATCACAGAGATAGGTATGAAACAATTTAGGGCAAACTAAACACTTCAAGGTCAAGAAGAATCTCTCACTCATCTAGTTTGTCAGATAAAAGTCTCTTTTTGTGAAACCAAACCTCAGATGTTTTGAATGAAGAAAACACCTGTGGACCAGTTGTAGTCTCAACTCAGATATTATAAATTTAACTTGGTGTAAATGAGCTCATAAGCAGCCACTGCACAGCTCTACCTTTTGTGTGACCTGATGATAATGTGTAAAAGGTTACCTAAAACCTTCTCCAGTGTTTCAGAATCACAGATACATAGCTTTCCGAGCATTTCATGACAGCAATTTCTAGAAAACTGCAAGCATTTGAGGCTTTAATCCCATTGTCCAACATATGTCAGGGTAAGGCTCTGTGTCAGTAGACTGTTCCAAAGCTCCACAAAGCATGGTTTATCAGCTGATATAGCATTTGAAGAATGAGCTCCTCTCATCAACACAGCCACTTTTATTTACAGCCTCCTGCTTTGATCAACCCTGGACGTTTGTCATATTTCTCAGACAGCTGCATATGTAACACTGAGCTCTGAGTTTATGTGAACAAGGAATATCACTGTACACAGTACTCCAGATGGTGTGCCTATCTGTGACTGCTTTTGTTGGCACACTGCATCTTTTCTCTGCTTGTAAATGTTCTCCTTTACAAGCAGCGGTACTCCCCTCATGAATATTTATACTGGGTTCTGTTCCTGAGCATGCCACCTAATAAATATTCAAGAAGCTCTGATAGTGCATTTTCACAGTCATGCGTTTTCTCTGAAAGTCTGGTTGTTGGATCATTGTCACTTGACCTTTACTTTATCCAGCTCATTCATCCTCAGTGGGAATACAGACTCCTTGCCCTATATAGTAAAAACTTGGGTAAACCTTTCTACAGAGTAACTGATTACTGACTCTGAGAGACGAGGCAGTCCAAGTAACTACAAAACAGTGCTGATTTATTCCATGAACACAGGTAAAAATTAACATTACACACTCAGGCATCTTGCACCTCCAACCTGCACGCAGGCAGATGAAAGATGAAAGACCCCCTGAACCCAATAGGCCTGTACATTATATCTCTTCGGTTGGGCTAGCCCCATACTACACAGAAACGTCAACCGCAACGTCTCTGGTGCCAGCTTTGCAGCTGGCCGTAGCAGCAGTCAAAACATGAAGTAAATCAATGTGTGTGTGTCTGTTGATTAAGTGGTGTGTAGCTAAAAACATTCTCACACGACCTCTAGTAACATGTCATTACATTAAACATAAGAACATATTATGGCTAAGGCTACAGTTATACACGTCATTATAATAATATTAACACCCTGTCTGCTGACAGTCATCAACTTTTCTCTAGTTATCCTTGACCAGATGTACCCTGTAGAAACTCATAAGCATGACTAAGCATTTAACAGTCTAACTAGACATCCTATCTCCACTAAACATTTCTAATACATAAAGTATCTAACCAATATCTATCTGACTAAAAATACCTAACACCTGATTACTGTCAAAATCATGAATTCATATTCAGGAGTGTAGTGAAATTAAATATGTAGATCTCTCTCAACTGTAAAGTGTATTTTATACCTCCTCTTGTCAGTGTATTGATTTATTGCAGAATGGTGGAAAGCTCTTTGCCCCCAGGCACAAAAATGAAAACACTGCCATTTTGGCAGGAATAGTGGAACTCTTGAATGATTCACCTGCAACTGCAACCAAAGGAAGGGTGGATAATGGTTATCATAAAGGCATCATTTAATGTATGATGCGGTGCCTTTTGAAATGATTTCCTACAGCTACAGATGCAGATGCAGCCATCTTAAATTGTTGGCTGGGCCATGTCAGAACCTTGCATAATTCATGGCTGATCCCCACATTGTCCCCATCTGAATGTGACTGGAAAAGATGCACTGATAGCTGCGTAGCCTTGTTAATGCAGCATGAGTGAACATTGGTTGCAATGCTGTATGTATCTGCCAGGTGGAGCAGTGTTCTGTTCAGTTTACTGTTAATGGACCAATCTTTTTCAGGCAGGAGGACAAACTGATTGACAATATGACAGTTGATTTAATATCCACAGTCACCATTTAATAATGACAGTGTAGAAATGTATACTTTTTAATAATCTGTTGAGCCACATAATAAAACACTGTGTTTTTCCAGAAGCCATTGTGAGATTAACCATTTACTTTTCCTAGCAGGTGTATTCCTCCTCAGAAAACCAATCAATCAGTCATTTATTTATATAGCACAATTCATAAAATAATGTAGACCAAAATATTTCCATTGCGAGCAATGTTTTGGTTAGCTACCTAGCCAACAGTACAGTTGGCTGGCTGTTATTAATCCATGACTGGTTCACAGTACTTCTGACCTTTTAACCTTTGTTTCTCAGGGGGGTGCCTGACAACAGCCAAGCCGATGTCTGACCGATCCTGTGACCCACCCTGCACCAAGCCACGTTCCCTGTGCACAGAGGTGAGTGGTCACAAATACTGCAGTCAGATGCCGTCTTTAGCATCCACAGTACTGCTGCTTTGCTGTTCTGCTTTTTGTGTTAGGTTTTTTGCCTAATATTTTCTAAACACACCTGTACTGGAACATTACTCTTTAAAGAGCAGCAGGAAATTTTTTCAGAAACACACAGCTACATAAATGCAAGACAACCCGGAAACAGACCAGCTCAGAATACAGTGAAATCTAAATAGCATTTATTTATTTATTGACTTTTATATACAGGCCACGTCCAAAATATCATTGTGTGAATGCTGAGTCATTGTTATTGTAATTACAAATAGTGGCCAGTTTTATAGTTTTGTTGTGATTTTGACCTTCATCATAAATTCTTCAATCATGGGTCCTTAAGTTTTTTTTTTGTTTGTTTTTTTTTATCAGCCTATTAAAGCAGTAGCATTATATCTTTTGGGGCTGTGTTTGAGAAAATATCCTTAATGATGCTATCAGCTTGGGCACAGATTTTTAACCAAAGTCCTATGTTACAAGCTGGGGGCATTGATGAGGGAAATACTTTTGAATGGCCTAATGATAAGATGTTATTGGTAGCATTAAAAAAGGATCCATGGTTTATGATGTTTGACCTATATTAAGGACTAGTTAGGACATCTGGTATGAAGTGCTTTGATTAAACCAGAAGGCAGGTGAGTTGAAAAAAACGTAGAAAAAATCATCTGGACTTGGTTTTAGGTAGAAGACGTTTCACCTCTCATCCAAGAAGCTTCATCAGTTCTTTCTGACTGGTGGTGAGCAGGAGGTATTTATCCCCCTGGCTGGTGTTTCAGTCGTTTAATGGCCAACAATGTCTCCTAACGACTGATATGTTGCGGTTCCAGTTCTTTGGTGGCCAACAATGAAGCTCTGAAGCGGGACCCCACCAGTGGCTACAAGAAGAAGGTTATAGACTATTTACTGAAGCTGGAAAAAGGAGGGAGTTATTGACCAGTGACTATACTACAGACTATACCCTGGTGAGGTCATCCCTTGATTTTATGGCCTATCCAAAATACACAAGTAAGGAGCCCCACTCAGACCCATCGTCAGCAGCATCAATTCTGTGACTTACAACATAGGCAAGCACGTGGCCACCATTCTGGCTCCTTTTGTGGGAAACACACGATACTGCATAATAAACTCCCAGGACTTCGCAAGGAAAGTCCAACAACTGCAGCTGGACCAGGATGAGACCATGGTCTCATATGATGTCACATCCTTGTTCACTTGCATCCCCACCACAGAGGCTGTCAAGGCGGTGAAGAAGAGACTGCTGAAGGATGACACACTAAACAGCAGGACAAACCTCATCCCAGGCCATGTATGCACTCTGCTGGAACTCTGTTTAAACACTACCTACTTCCAGTTTAAGGGGCACTCCTATAGGCAGCAACACGGGTGTGCTATGGGCTCCCCGGTGTCTCCTATAGTTGCCAACCTGTACATGGAAGAATTTGAGGACAAAGCCCTGTCTACCTTCACTAGTTAGCCACTGGTTCCACTACGTGGATGACACATGGGTTAAAATCAGGACCCAGGAGGTAGAGGCTTTCACCAAGCATATATACTCGGTGGATAGCAACATCAGGTTCACTCATGAGGATGCCAGAGATGACTGTCTGGCCTTTTTGGATTGTGCAGTCCATTTGGGAGGGGACAGAAGCATGAAGGTAGAAGTATATTGGAAACCTACACACACAGACCAGTACCTGCTTTTTGACTCACACCATTCACTTCAACACAAACTGGGAGTCATCAGAACTCTAAATCAAAGGGCAGAGGAAGTGCCCACAACTGTAGAAGGGGCCAAGAAGGTGAAACTACACATCCAGAACTCTGTTAGGGCTTGTGGATACCCTAAGTGGGCCTTCACCAAAGCAAGGAAGAGGCCCAACACCAACAGGGAGAAACCAGAAACAAGAGGGGATAACACTGTCATCCCTTATGTGGCTGGTTTATCAGAGAAGTTAAAAAGGATCTTTC